CCGTCCCCGAGACCCGATTTTTCGGGGAATCCCCGTCCCCGACCGGGGCGGGTGGACCGGGTTACCCGACGGGTCGGGGTCCATTCCCATCCCTATTTGGGATTGCTTATTTCAAATAACTTATGTTTTTTTTGTAAAAGTGTTTATTAACTTATATGGTATCAAAAACCGGAGTTAAATAAAACATGGTTAAAATTGTAAGCTGGTAATAAGCAGTTTTTCATAAGTCAGGAAAGATTAACTTATCAAAAACAACTTATTACCGGTTTGGCACCGGTATAAGCAGTTTTTTTTTTATTCAAACATCTATAAACAACTTATCACCAATACTAGACTGAAATAAGTTAAAAAATAGTTTTTATAAGCAAAATCCCAAACACTCCGTTTAGTTTAACCAATTGTTTTGATTTAGATATATTTGACTTCTAGGTTAGAGCATTGATGATCGGACTTGCATTTTGAGAGATGGGGCTTAATCGGAAAATCGTATAAGCCAAATCTCATATGGCTTGGAAGAGTTATTCCATCTCGAACTTCGAGATGCTCTTACAAAGGTATAAGAAGATGAAGAAACTAGTGAAAGGTGTCAAAAGTACGTTGGAAACATGAAAAGAAAATGTAATAATGTGTATAGGTAACTTGTACTATATGTTATTTTAATTGTAGATTAAGAGATTTTAAGACTGAACGCATTATGAGTTGTTTTCAAGACTTTGTGTATTAAAAATCGTTTTTAAGACTTTTGATAAATCTGGTTTATAAGGCAGTATAGATTACCAAAATATTTTATAAAGTTGATATTTTATTTATTTTTAAATCAGGAATTGCATTAATATTTTATTATCTATTTAATTGAGAATCGAAGAACCATCCTCAATCGGTTCCGTATTTTAGGAATCGGAACCATTTATATCGGTTCCAGTTCTGGAAGCGGCAGTTACAAAGCAGTTTCGGTTCCACAAATAGATACCCAATTTCATAAGTAGATACTCGATTCTGCTACTCACTCCTACTATTTATAAATAAATATTGCATTGGATATTAAATAGAAAAGAAACGCATCTAAACGGTGTATCTGGCTGCGTGTGTATTTTGTATTAAACTTCTGTTCTGACATTTAATTTTAAGTCTGCATAAAGATCTAAAGCCATAAGAATGATGAGAAAGAGGCACGTGTCTTTGTTTCTATCTGAGAAGTGAAATCATTTACCCCATGACACCTTTTTCATAATTAACACTTCTTCTATTCATTCCTATCCTTTCTTCCCTGCATCTTTACATTTTTTCTAATTTCACCCCCTGAGGTCTTTTTTTAAGCTTGAATTGCAAACTAATTAAAGATCTTTTGACTACAATGCATTTCAACAAATGTGGAGTTATTTGTAAACAGCCAGGTGATTCGCGGTTGAAATGGGTAGTTGTATTTTAAAGGGAGAGTGAATTCAGTGGGATCCCCATACAAGTAGTGAAAAAATTGCGATCAAATGAGATTGTTTGTCGTTGATTGTCAACTGTAGAGGGTGTAATCGCTAGTTATGACTGTAAATTGGTAATTGTCGTGATCTTCTTCTGTGAGATCGAATCAAAGATGGTTGATGTGCTGCTTACCAAGATTGTTCACAACTCTTATACTGAATCAAGACAATGCCAATGGTGATGATTGAAAATGGCCAAAACGCCTTGTTACTAGCAATGGAAGTTGATCGACGATCCAGTCTTTCAAATCATCGACTTAAGACAGGACCTAAGCCTAACTTGACAACATGGCTCTATTGGGACAAATATATCAGGGAATTGAGCCTAACTTGACAACATGGTTGTATTGGGAGGTCTAAAATGAACAATCTTTAAACTTCCATTGTCTTTTCTATAAACTCTCATATACTTTTGTGGTGTGAATGCAAAAAAAAGTTAAACTTGGGGATACTCTTTTTATCCTTCCACCTTGGTTCTTTCACCCACAACCACAACCACAACTACAACTACAACCACAACCACAACCACAACCACAAATGAGAAGGGTAGAAAATGGGTACAATGATGGAGCCCATATTTGCTTTTTAAACCCCCAAATTTCTTCTGATTTGTACTTTGGCCTACTTTTTTAAAAAATATATTATTAAAAAGAAAAAAAGTAAAAGTTTTGAGAGGGCAAAATCTTTTCCAAAATCAAGTCAAGCCCATGTGTTTGCTTTCAACTTTCTTAGATTCTTGCTGTTTTTCAATCACTAAAAGGTGATGTTGTTCATACAAGTTGTCTCCTCTTCTTTGATGTCAAGGATTTTATATGTTAATTATTTTTGGTATTTAATAAAAAATAATTATTCTTTTGAGGTTTTTTTAGTAGAATTTAAATTAAAGTAAAGATATGCTCTCAACTAGGTTTGTTTATGGGTTAGGTTGATCGGGTTGAAGATATTTCAACACCCCAACTTAATGCTTGCGGTTTGAAAAAATCTTAATCCAACCCAACCCAACCCAACCCAACCAGTATGGTACTTTGGTACGGTAAAATATTCTTTTTACCTTGAATACGCTATTTCTCTACTCATAATTTATTTTTCATCATCAACCATTTGATACAACTTATCCATATTTCTTACGTATATCACATTCAGTTAATTTTTCTCAATTTACGTATATATGTTTACAGTTACTGAACATATATACGAATGAGTTATATAGAGATGTGAATAAATTGAAAATATGTGTATATGAAAAAAATACATGATAGTGTGATTGTGTAATGTATATATTAATATAAATTCAACAATCACATTAAATCCAAGAAATGAAAAGAATATCGGATTCATCGGGTTGGGTTGGGTTCATATAATTGTAACTCAATATCAACCTAATACCTACGGTTTGACAATTTTACAACTCTATTAGACATCGGGTTGTTTCGAGTTGGGTTATTTTGTGTTGGGTTGAGTTGGATTGATCGGGTTTTTGAGCACCCCTACTCTCAACTATATTTTTTTTGAACTTTTATGGTATGTTTCATGGACTTCCAAACCCCATGTTTGTCAGATTCAAATTTCGAACTTTATTTTAAACCAAACGTGAAATTAGAATGATATCAAATTCCAAATCTATTATAGTTTCTAAAATGGTTTAAAATCAAAACGTTATCAAGAACGTGTAGGCAAGCCGATTCCATACGTTTGGTTATATATGTCCTGGAGAGCTCACACAAAGTTTCTGTCTGAGCCTACTACGACAAATTTTGACTCTTCAAAAAATCAATGTTTGTTCCTGTCATTTTATTTTTAAAAATAATTAAGTGGTTTTTAAGTAAATATGTGATTTCCTTGATATTATCATTCTTTCTTTAAGGAAATAAAATGTGTGTTATTGTATTATGTCATTTTTTTTTTCATGTAAAAAGGATAAATTGCAATAAGCATGGATGTAGTTTCACTTTACTTTTAATTTGCGAATTCGATTGTAACGTCAGTTATTAAAATTGCGTAAGAATTAATCACTGATTTAGATTCTTGATTATCTGATATATCACATTTTAGCCATTAACTTTTTATATTCACCAAAATGGTTAAGTAGTCGGTAGCTCGCAACGAAGCTTTGTTGGCTATGCTTTTATGTGAGCTGTAAATGTTACATTTTATATACTTATAGTTTTTTTATAGTAACTAATAATATATTAATTAAAATATATTAAAAGTATATTTTTTTATATAAATTACATCATTTAAAAGTCAATAATGAATTTAATATTGAATAATTTTAAATATCAAATAAATATTTGCTTAGTTGATTTTTTTTTAAAACCTTTTAGTAATTTTATTTAAAAAAAACCTTTTTAATAATTATTATCAGATTTCTGTAACCATTATGAATTCAAATCAAATGACATGTTACAATTATGTAATTTACAAATATATATATATATATATATATATATATATATATATTTGGGCACAGGCTAATGGCACCCCATCTTATACCAATGGCAC